GTGACCTGGAAAAGCAAGAAACAAAGTGTGGTAGTAAGGTCAAGTGCTGAAGCTGAATATAGAGCTATGGCACATGGGGTAGCTGAAGTCCTTTGGCTAAAAAATCTTCTAGGGGAGCTTGGAGTTGTTGTTCATAATCCTATGTCTCTTTACTGTGACAGCAAGGGAGCCATAAACATCGTCGGCAACCATGTCCTACATGAGAGGACCAAGCACATTGAGGTGGACAAACACTTCATAAGGGAAAAATTGGAAAAAAAGGGAAATTTGCATCTCTTATGTCAACTCCAAGGAACAACTCGCTGATATCCTCACAAAAGGACTTCCATACTCGCAGCACAATGAGTTATGTGACAAGTTGGGCATGATAGACATATTCAGCCCAACTTGAGGGGGAGTGTTGTGAGGATTATTTAATTGTTATTTTACGGTTGCTATTAGTGTGTTGTCAGCTTAAGATGTTGTTAGCCAGTTAGTTTCTTTCTCTCTTATTAGTTTGTTACTAGGGAGTGCCACCAAGGGCATACTTGTAATCTCCCATTCCTTTTATATTAAGTTAATATAAATAACTAAACTGATGATAGCCAGAATAGTTTTTTTGGTTCGTGTCTCTCAATCATATCTTCCTCTTCTCTTCTTCTCTTCTTCTCTTCTCTTCTCTTCTCTTTCTCTCTCTCATCTCTCTCTCTCCATGAATGATTACAAGGAACATGTAGAGCATCAGAGAGGGTGAGTCCAAGAGGAAGGGAGATGGTTCCTTGACCAGCTATGGTGGAGAAAGAACCATCAGCAAGTCTCACCTTGTCCCGACCAGATAATAGATGATAAGATTGAAAACAATTGGACTTACCCGTCATATGGTTCGAGGTTCCAGAGTCTGTTATCCAAGGGGATTCTGAGGGATGAGAGGACACATGGAAAGCTGTGGCAAAATTACCGTTACCTGATGTAGATGCAAAGGAAGTTGAGGGTGGAGAAGCATAATCCATCTGGTGGATTGCCCTCCCATACAACTCTAAATGGACACGGAAACAATTAATGATTTCTTCCCTCGGATCAGTCCCGGAAGAACTCGCAGTGGTGGTAGATGATTGAGGCTCTTGAGAAGCTAAATTTGCTGCATTAAACTTTCTCTGACCTTGTTGTCCTAGCTTCTTATTCTGATCCGGCTTTTTACTCATTTCCTGAGCCCACTTTGGCTTTCCGTGAAGTTCCCAACATGTCTCCCGAGTATGCCTAGACTTCTGACAGTCTGTACACCATAACTTATCTTTGTTATCACTTTTCTTCTAGAAGTCATTCTTCTTGAAGGAATTTCCACCACCCGTAGCAACACTCCCTTTAGCTGCTAAAGCCACATGCTCTCTCTTGGGATTATTCATCACATTCTATCTGCTCTCTTCTAAATGCACTAGAGCATATATTTCTTGTACGGATGGGAGGTCTTTACCCCCCAATATCTAAACCCTGATAGATTCATATATAGGATTCAGCCCTAGGAGAAAGGCAAACACTCTTTGCTGTGAAACCAGAGACTTGTATACTTTGGCATCTGCATCACACTTCCAGTCTATATTCTGATAGTGATCGAGTTCCTTCCAAGCAGAAGTTAGGTCTGAATAGAAGGCGAAGAGACTCTTCTCCCCCTGTTTACAAGTTGAGGAGGCAGCCTGCAACTGATATATTTTAGCATAATGCCGTTGTTCGGAGTATGTAGACTGTGCTTGTTCCCATATCTCATGAGCTGTTTCTGCCCACATGAAGGTCTTTTTCACTTGTGGCAGCATAGACAATAACAGCCATGACATCACCATGCTGTTTTCCTGGTCCCACCTATCATGTTCCACACCATTAGACTGGGGTTCTCTAATTCTGCCATTGATATATCCTGCTTTTCCCCTTGCAGTTATGTAAAGTTTGATTCCCCTTGACCATTCTAGGTAATTAAGGCCATCAAAGGGAATCACAGCCATGGGAAAACTCATGTCAAAACCTCCACTCATCCCACTCTGACTAGAGGTAACACCAGACATACCAGAATCTTCTGAAGACATAGAAACTAAATCTGATCAGTCACAAACCAGCTAGAGAACAAGTTTTTTAATTCAGTTCAGACCCACAGTACAATCAAAAACAGGTTGCAGTTCAACTACACTTCTGATACAGTTTCCAGTTCAGCTACACTTCTGGACACAAAAAAAAGAACTTGTTCTCACTCAAGGAAATCACAGCTGATCCCACACCATTACTGTTCTCAGATTTCGGCCCTACTGAACCCTTTCAGATTGATGACACACCATTCCAGATGTGTAAGGAGTATAAAAAAAAAACAGATCTGACCATTCTCTCTAGCAACAAAACAGCTTTCACACAGTAACTTAGCTTCTATACGAGTAGAAGAAAAAAATCTGCTGCCACAGCAGTTACAGATCTGTAATCTTGAAGTAATAACACCTTTCTGGGTAAAAAAGGGATCACTCGATCCACATACAATGAGAGAAAAATACTCTCACACCAGCCGCAGGTCATTAGACCCACATAACCCATACATCTGGGTACAAAAAAGGATCAGTTCGATCCACAAACTGAGGAAGAAAGAACTAAAAAAAAAATTCAGCATTTGATTTTTTTTTTCTGATAGTTTCTGGGCTCATGACCAAGAAAAAGGAACAGTCTTGCAATGAGCTTCCTCACACGTCCACCGATCTTGTTCTTTGGTTCGACCACCAATAGTCAGAAAAGGAAAGAAGCGCCGCCCTGGTCCTAAGATTGGATCTGCCGCTCTGATACCATGTTTTCTTGGTGCTGAGATGGTGTGATTCCAGAACAGAGAAAAGAGAAGAAAGAGAAGGGAGAAGAGAGAAAAGAGAGAAGAGAGACAAAATTGAAAGAGGCAAAAGTCAACTGGTGGCGCCAGTTTATTTTGGTATATATACTAGGGCGACCATACATAAAAAATAAAGGAGAAAATTACAAAGGTGCCCTTACGGCACTAAACTTAAAATAAAACTATGTTATTTCAACAGAGCTCTAGCAAGGTTTTTTGATGTGCAGAAGTAGAAGAGAGAACAAATCTCCCAGTAAAAAACAAGTATGGTCCCTTCATAGTGTACCCCAGTGTAAAGGTGGGGTCTTGCAAATAGCTTTGCCGCACCTTTTCAAGGCTGGGGGTCGCTTCTGGCCTCCTCTCGTAAAGCTTCAAATAGGGGATAATGGGGCTGAGAGTTTACTAACAAGGACAACTCAGTCTTCCGTGACAATGCATCTGCGGCCCGGTTGGTGGCTCCAGGCTTGTATTCGATCAAAAAATCAAAGCCCATTAACTTCATTACCCACTTTTGCTGATCTGGGGTGAGGGCTTTTTGGTCCAGTATAAACTTTAAGCTTCTCTGATCAGTTCGGATTATGAACCTTCGACCCAACAAGTATGGTCGCCATTTATGGACTGCCAGCACTATTGCCATAAGCTCCTTTGTGTATGTGGACTGGTTCTGGGCTCTAGTGGAGAGGACCTTGTTGAAGTAAGATATGGACCTCCCATTATGCATGAGCACCGCCTCAAGCCCTATACCAGATACATCACATTCAACCACAAAGGTCTCCTCGAAATCCGGTGGGCTGGTCATGGCCTGCTTAAGGGAATCAAAAGCCTGCTGGGCCTGCTCCGTCCAAACGAAGCCATCTTTTTTGAGAAGCCCAGTTAGTGGGGCTGCTAGCGACCCATAATTGCATATAAACCTCCGATAGTAGCCAGTAAGGCCCAAAAACCCGTGCAGGGCTTTGACTGTCTTGGGCGTGGGCCAGTCCTGTATACAAATTATTTTCTCTGGGTCAGCCATGACCTGTCCAGCTGCAACCACATGGCCCAAATAATGGACTTCAGTCTGTCCAAAAACACACTTCGAAAGTTTGGCAAACAATTGGTGCTGTTTCAGCAAGCTCAAGGTTTGTTCCAAGTGCTGGAGGTGTGAATCCCAATCCTTGCTGTATACCAAAATGTCATCAAAGAAGACCAAACTAAAACGTCGGAGATAGGGTTTGAAGACATCATTCATGACGGCCTGGAAGGTAGAAGGGGCGTTGGACAGCCCAAATGGCATAACTAGGAACTCGTAGTGTCCATCATGGGTTCTGAAGGTCGTTTTGTATACATCTTCAGGGTGGGCCCGGACTTGGTGATAGCCGGATCGGAGGTCCATTTTTGAGAAATACGTGGCTTGCCCCAGCTCATCTAATAGCTCGTCCACAACCAGGATCAGGAACTTATCCTTGACTATGATATGATTTAGTGCTCGGTAAATCTACACAAAAATGCCAGGACCCGTCTTTCTTTTTAACAAGGAGTACTGGTCTAGGCTGTATCCATCCCTTGTGCAGGAGCTCCTTCACGAGCCTCTCAATCTCAATCTTTTGGAAGTGCGGGTATCTATAGGGCTGCACGTTGGTAGGGGCTGCCCCTGGAGTTAGGGGTATGTGATGGTCCTGGTACCGAGTTGGGGGAAGCTGATCTAGGTCTCTAAAGACTTCTGGGAATTGTCCTATCACCCTTTGTATATCATCTTGGTCCTTCTCAGATGGTTGGACCTCATTATCTAGCCTTAGTAAAGGCTCAATAGGCCCTGGGCCCATCTGCATCAGCAGTAAGTGTTTCTTCCCAAAACCCCCCTTAATCATGGATTGTAGACCTTTCACTAGTGGGCCGGGTATCTCCTGACCTTGTAGATGGCAGCGGAGCCCATCACAATAGAAGTCCATGGTCATGTGTCCCCAATCACAAAGGACCGGGCCCAGTTGGATTAGCCATTGTACACCCAACACTACATCTGCCCCGCTGAAATCCAATGGATGCAGGTCCACGATGAAAGTGTGGTCTTGGATTACCAGCTTTTCGTTTTTACAAATACTTTCACATTCAATATGGTTACCATCCGCCACTCTAACAGCAAATGGAGAGGTGTAGAGAACCGTCATACCTAGTTGGCGAGCCAATACTTGTGTGACAAAATTCAGTGTGCTCCCACTGTCTATGAGAACGGATACCCAGCAGCCTGAGATTCCCTTCAACCCTCATAGATTTGGGGGATGCCAGCCTTGTCAAAGCTTGTAGAGAGAGATCTCGGGGTTGTCATATTGGGTATTGTCCGGCTTCCTCTCCTCAGCTAGTTCCTCGTCATCTTCCCCTCCAGTCTCCTCCCATTGCAGCAAGAACATCCTCTGGGTTTTGCATCGGTGACCAGGCCCAAATTTTTCATCACAATTGTAACACAGGCCCTTCTCATGCCGGGCCTGCATTTCAGCCCAAGAGAGGCATTTGAAGGGGACTGGGCTATTAGTTGGCGGTGTGGGTCCTTGGGTGGGCTGAGTGGTCTCCCCAACAGGTCGAAGAGGTTCTGTCATGGGCCTAGGAAGAAGCCCATCTTGACGTGATGGAGTTTTTAACAGGGGCCCAGATGGGCAGGTCGTCACCTTCCTTAGTCGGTCGAGTCACTCCTCCTGCAATCTTGCTAGTCCTGCAGCTGCAGACAGAGAATTGGGCTGAAGGGCCTTCACCTCTACCTTGATGTCGTCTCTCAACCCTCCGACAAAGCAACCGACCAGTGCCTTTTCCGGCCACCCATATACTCTGGTGGCAAGCCGTTCAAACTCGACTTGGTAGTCCCGTACTGTTCCCTTCTGTTTTACCCTGGAAAGCATCTCGTCGTAGTCATCGTAGACAGTAGGACCAAATCGTATGCACAACGCCTCCGTGAACTCTTGCCATGAAATTTGGGGACGGGAGTGCCTGAACCACTGGAACCTTAGAATCACCTCCCCTTCCAGATGGAAAGAAGCAATGGTCATGCGCTGGAGTCCCTGTATGTCATGATATTCGAAGTACTTCTCAGCCTTTAAGATCCAGGGAATCGGATCTCCTCCATAGAACATCGGAAAGTCCAGTTTGGTGATTCTTCCCAGTACATAGTTTCCCCTCCGGGTGCTGCCCCAGCTAGATTCTTCATTGTCACTATCTCGGCCTATGGCGGGGGTAGCTTTCCTGACATGGCTTCTTTGATCTCCTTAAGCCCTGTGACCACCTGGTGGAGGTCGACTTTGATCTTGTCCACCCTCTCGTCCAGAGTCACTGATCGTGTGTTGGTCATCTTCGATCGTTCAGGTTGGCCAACCTGGCTCTGATACCAATTGATGAGATACTGCTCACCTCAGGGGTCTCTTTGAGAGAGACCCTTCCTCCTGCGCAGAAATGAAGAGAGAGAGAGAGAGAGTATGGATTCAATTGCATATCCTTTCATTCGGCCAACCCATATTTATAATGGTTTTTGGGTTACAAAATATCCTAACAAACTCTGTCAGCTCTAACGAACTCATGCAGAGGGACCAGCTGACGAGTTGCCTGTTGCAGTTAGGTGCTGATACGGTTTGCCTGGGTTCTTCCTTAGGTAAGTGCCAGTGACTGGAGGCCTGGGCCTCTGGGTTGGGTCTGGGCCTTGATTCCCAACATTTCCACTAGGAATTCATGAAAACTATACTAAGGATGAGAAGAAGTGCAAAAAGCCTTGTTATCTGGGGAGCAGCATTCCTGCTCTTGCTTTATAGAGGTAAGTCCATAGCTTCCTTTGCTACATGATTTTATTTGTTTCCCTGAACTGTAAGCTGCATTTATTTTTAATTTTTTCATAGAGCATGTGAATATCTTGCTACATCTGGGGTGACAGTACATATAACCCTTAAAAGTGGAAACAGGTTTGGTATATGCATGTAAAAGAATGTAAAAGAGAAAAACAGGTTTAATGAAGTTAAATTACCTTTTCTCCAAAATATATATGCATGTAAAAGAAATCAATGCAAATCTAATTTTGGTTATACCTTGCTATATTGGACCTGAATTTGGAATTTGAATTTATTTTGTCCCAACTAAAATGCAATTTATTGTTGGTACATGATGCAGGTTCAAGCAGGAGCTGGGGGTACAGAGAGCATGGATTGGGCTGCTCTGGTCATGCAGATGTATTATGTGGGATCAATTCCGTGGATATGGAATTACTGTAGTGAGTGAAATTTCTGGTGAGATTGCTGGAATAAAGGTTCATTTTCTTAACCATCCTTCATTTTAATAAGCATGCATATCATCAATGTTTTAAAAGGCATGGGAGGCAAATGCCTAGAGGTGTGCTTCCAGGTGAGGCGCCCCCATAAGCATGCATACCATCCTCTGAGGTGTACGTTTCAGGTGCACGAGGCATGTGTCTTAAACCACTGTTTTGAAAATTGGACTGGACTGGACAGTCAAACCGTTTGGCCTGGGAACCAATCAGGTCACCGGTTCCGTTTTGGCCTTGAACCATTATTTTGCAAAAAAACGTTGAAATGGTCAGGGAACCGCTGACCTAGGCGGTCAAACCGCTAAACTGTTCGACCTGGGCAGAGTTCACAGTTTAATAAAATATTTAATTCTTCATCAACAGAGAAGAAAGGCGATGTAGAGATTGGAGAGAAACTGTCTTAGATCTGAGAGAGAGATCAGAATGGGTTGGGGGAGAAACGGTTCCACTGCTGTTTGTTGCCATCATCATTACTAGTGAACATTGCCTCCTCCTCCTTCTTCCTTCCTTTTCTCAGCCGGCAGCCACCTACCTCTCTCTTTTCTCATAAAAGAGTACATGTATGTATCATTATTTTTACCTTAATATTCCAATCTAAGGTTAAGCATATCAAACTGTTTGAACCGTTCGACTCGGATGGCCGAACTGCTGACCCGGAAACTGGTGGTCAGAGCGGTTCCATTTCCAGGTCGGTTTTTAAAACCTTGCCTTAAAACACTTTTTGCATGAGGTGTGTGCCTCATGCACTCACGTGCCTCCACATTTTAAAACATTGTATATCATTGCCAATGTGCTTTTCCATGGTACATGAGTGTTATTCTGAGTGCAAGTATGCATGTAGAAATGGTCAAAAGAAAGGGTGATTTCTGTAAATGCTAGAAGTCAGCATGATTGGCAGTCAAGTGTGTTGAATGGAAAAAATTGTGTTTGCCTTTGTCCAATATTAAAATGCCAGTCAAGTGTGTTGAGTGCTTGATTGGCAGCACGCTTTTCCATGGTAGATGAGTGTTATTCTGAATGCAAATATGCATGTAGAAATGGTCAAAAGAAAGGGCGATTTCTGTAAATGCTAGAAGTCAGCATGATTGGCAGTCAAGTGTGTTGAATGGAAAAAATTGTGTTTGCCTTTGTCCAAGATTAAAATGCCAGTCAAGTGTGTTGAGTGTTTGATTGGCAGCACACTGAATGGGATATCCAAGGGGATCTCTGATGCATATGTGTGATCAGAATAAAACATAAATGCCTCCTCCCTCCAACTATAATTTATGGTAATCAAAAGAAAAGATCAAGAGATATGTTTAAGTCTCCAGGTCGTTGCTTGCTCACATCATATGATGTCTTCATTTCCTCCTGTCCTGGATTTCAGTATTTCCTTGTAAACTAGAGAATCTTTTTGATAAAACTTATTACTGTAACCCAGGTGATTTAGATGAGTTAGACATTTTGCATATGTAACACATTTATCCAAATTCAAAGAAAAAAGACCTTGAGCTACTTGCTATTTCTATATAAATAGTAAGAACATACATCAAAAGTCTTCTTTAGAAAAGCAAGGATATTTGTGGCCTCCTCTGGAAGGTTATACAAATTAAACTTTGATTGGAGCAATCAAGGCAATCCAGGTCCATCTTGCACAGAAGGGATTTTGAGAGATAAAGAAGGAAATGCCATGGCTTTGTTCTTGGGACCTGTGGGTGTAGGTGACTGTATCAGGGCTGGACTGCTAGTTTCTATTCAAGCAGTAAGTTAGCAAATGAGCTGAATTTGGGAAATTTGTTGATTGAGGATGATTCTAAGGTGGTAGTGGGGTGGCAGAAGGAACTGGAGACTGTTATTTGGTGCTATAGAAATGAGATCAAGAAATTTAAATGGTTAACAAGGAATATGAATTTGACAGTACAATGGGGAATCAGCTAATGCTATGGCTGATCCTTTAGCCAAGCAAGGGGTGAATAGGGATCAACTACATTGGGCTCAATTGTAATCTTTATCATCAGTAATCTGTAATAATTTAATTAGATGGCGTGCGCTGATCTCAGTTGATCAGAAATCTGATAAAACTTCAGCAGAAAATAAAGAAATAACAGAAGAAGAAGAAAGAAGGAGAAGAGAAGAGAAGAGGAATGAGAAGAAGAAAGGGCGCAGAATTGGATATCTTCTGCCGCCCAGAATTTTTATTTATATACTCTCATTAAACATAAGAACATAAAGACACCTATGCCCCTGCCGCCCAACTCACTCCTTAGTCAATAATGACAGAAATAACAATAGGCCCAGTAAGGCCCAGAAAACTAATAAACAGATAGTAATAATAGGCCCAAAATAATAACAATTAAATAATAGGCCCAAAACAACTGATAATGGCAGGGACTTCACTAAAACTAGTCTATTTCTCCACATAATTATTTTATAGGGAGAGATAGCATCTTGCGTCTCTCCAAGGGTTGCTTGTACTTTTCGAATCTTTTGAATTAATAAATTCTTCATTTATCAAAAAAAGAAAGGATAGTTCTACCCTTTTCTTTTCCTATAAGGCTTATCTCTATCACATCTTTTCACTTTTCCTTCATCTTAGCCCACAATCATACTTGTCATTCCTATGAGAGTAACAAGTGACGATTTATCCGGAATGCTTACACCAGATAGAATGTGTGACCCCTAACATGCTCGAACTTGTGTACTTGAAAATTACAGTAAAAATTATTGTTGACCTTTAAGATTCTGCAACCAAGAAACAATTTCAGTGGTATGACTAAGAAAGCCAGAATTAGAGATGAGTGCATTAAGGACTTAGGAGTATCTCCAATTAATGAGTTGGCTAAGATGATTTGCTCATGTCCTTAGACAGCCAGTGAGGAGTGATTTGGTGCTAGTAGAAGGCTCTCAAAGAGAAAGGAAAACTAATGAAAACATGAAGTGGTAAAAAAATGTAAAGACTTTTAATCATGGTTTAAAATGTCCCTAAATTTCCTAATATTTCCATGATATATTTCCATTTCCATGGGTAGCAACACAAAATTTTACTAGAATCGACATATTTCCCGATGAACAATACTAGCATTATGTGGAGTGCAAGAGATGGTATTATAACATAATTTGGTGACAATATTGTAGATATATGGATTAGCAATGTTATTACCTGCCTAATGCATATAATTACCACTTTAATCTAGCTCAATATTCATTTCAAACATAAAGTTAAATATTAGTTCTTGTTTGTGCATTTTTTGAGTTTAATTTTGCTTGAACTCATTCTATCATGTCGATTTGAATCTTAAGGTTTACAGGACAACTTCACAACATATTATTTTGTCTATAACCTTAGTTTCTTAGCTTGGTTTAATGATTTGAAACAATATTAAAAAAGTGTGCCTATGCTTCTTTTATCATTTCATAAAATATCATTCTATGTTTTTTGCATATTTTATAAGGTTTCCACCTTGTATGTAGTTTGTACAATATTTCCAACGTCTTTTTATTAGGAAAAAGATTTCATAAATTTAGTAGTCATTAACCCATTTCCCCATCTCAGATGATTACATCATATTACAATTTGCCCAAAATAGAAGAGGCCTGTCAACTCCTTGTTTCGCCCACATATCTGCTATCCCATTGACAGTCCTTATGACATTTTCCACATGTTTCTTATATTTGGACAACTGACATTTCAACCGACATTGACATTTTAAATTGTAATTCAATAGAAAACATGGCTCTAGAGTCTAGATAGAGCATAATGGCAGGTAAAGATTCATGTTGCCAACCTCTTAAGGCTGACTGGACTTGAATTCAGTTCCTTACTGGATGAGTTACACACTAGTGCTCACATGATTTACCGAGTATGAGTTCCCTGTTGGTGTTCTTGTGAATCATCACTAATTTAACATTAGAATTTAATTGTATGTAATATATACCAATTTAATAAAGTAAATAATGTTAATGTTCATGTGGCAAAAATATATGAATGTTAAGTATGTATAATTGGTAAAATCAGAAAAGGTAGGATCAGAAACGATCATGTACATAATAAAAATAAAAGGTGATCTGTTGCAAGTTGAAGGGTTTAGAAGAGCTAGGGGCAGGCTAAAATGGTCGGTTGAATTAGAAGAAAATGAGGTCTCACAATTTAACAATGGATGAACATGTTTCATATGGCCAATATAATTACGACAAGGCTTTGTGCACATAAAAATGTATTATAATATAGTTAAATGCTAATACTAAAATTTCAAAAAATTCTTAAGAAATAGGATACTTGACTGGCTGATAGCAACTGAACATCTAGACAGGTGTGCTGATTGACTCAATCTTGTTAACGGCGTGTAACAATCAAAGTGGATGGTGAATATGCATTTGGATATGACAAAGGAGAAGTTGGGGTACACAGGTTGGTGCGGATTTCACCTTTTGACAGTGGAAAGTGCTGGCTTACTCCTTTTTCTGCTGTGGCTGTTATTCCCATCTTGTGTTCAAATTAAGGAGCCTGACCTTCGCATTGAGTGATTCCATGCCGGAGGTGCTGGAGGCCAGCATGCCAATGACTCAACACAACTGAAAGTGCAGTAAGAATAGTGCATATCCCTACAGGAGTGATTGCTACCCTTCAGAAGGAGAGGTATGCAATATACACATTTCTCCTGTTTCCATTAGTTTTTGAAACGGCTATGAAGTTTGATTTCATGCAAAAGCAGATCACATCAAAACAAGGCAATTACAATGGCTATGCTTCAATCCCGATTATACCAGCTTGAGATGGCTCGCCAAGCTCAATTGAATGTGCAGCATATACAATCTCTCACTGAAAGCATGGTTAAGGATCTAAGAACAAACCATGGGGTTTCTGATCCTGATTCTGTTATTAAGGGAGATCTGGATGGCTTCATATTGAGTTTCCTATCTGCTTCCTTGGGCAAAGATGAAGACGATTTACGAGAGAAGATTGCTATTACATGACCATGGGTCTCTTTCTCTTAACCTGCTCGACATCCCATGGTTCCTAACTTCTATTTGTTCAGATTTTTGGGGACATGCTACCTCCTCTTGTGTAACCCCCTCTCAAATCTTATAATAAAAAAGCATCACAGTTTTCTCTCACAATTCTCTCCAAGTTTCTTTAGTTAGTGGACCTTTTTACCAAAACAAGAGGTTAGTAAACTGATTCTTAATTTTCATGAAATGGTAATTTGAGACTCCAAAGATTTTATTGGTTCCTCTCCTCCAAAGATGTGATTCTTTCATAAATTAAGTACCCTACAACGCAAACAGAAAAGATAGCCCATGAGGCCATGATTGCAGTCACTGGTGAATTTGCCTCAAAAGCGCCCAAAATAAAATGGTGATAAAGAAAAACAACTTATATTGCTAAGCTCAATTGGTACGTTAACTGATTCACTCAGAGAAAGAAAGAGGGAAGGAGGGAAGAAGGAAGAGGAGGAGAATGATTCCACGCTCACCGGCGGCGATGACGGCAACAGCGACGATGAGATGGCAACAGCGGTAACAATGCAGATGACAGATCTGATATCTGAGATATGAGTTCTCGGATCTCAGATCTGAGATTGATTTTTCATTTTTTCTCAGATCTCTGCAACTTTTTCTTCTTCTCTCCCTGGATATCAGATCTGAGTTCATGTCTCAGATTCAGAGTTTCTCCCTCTGCAATTTCTCAAACCGTGAACCACTGTCCAGGTCAAACGAATCAATGGTTCAACCGCCCAGGTCAGCGGTTTTCTGACAAAGTCAATAGTTTTTTATCCAAGAGCGGGTTAAGGGTAAAATAGAACCAGTTGCTTGGATGGTTTCCGGGCCGAATGGTCCGACCGTCCGGGTCAACAGCAGTTCAAAAACATTGAAAAAAACCATTATCCTCCCTCGGCTCATTTATACAACACACATCGCATTTGCATATTGTAACTCAACTTTATAGTTTTCTTGGTGTCAAGTTAAGATCTTTGTAATAGACATTAGCCAAGTGAATACTTCCACTGTTAGAGGAACTACACTACATATTTTGGTAAAACCTGATGGCGGTGCCCTAGAATGCAATTTGTTTTCGGGGAATTGAAAGTGAAACCGTCATCCTAGAAGGGTAGAACGTAAATAAAAAAAAAGATATAACAATATTCAATAAAATAAAAAATCCAAGAACTTGATATAAGTAAAATTGCATTACAATACTAATTAGGGAGTTCTCTCCCCAGAACAAAATCAATTCTTTCTTTATCAAAAAAAAAAATACTTTCTAGTTAAAAAGGCGAACAAGAAAACAAAATTGGAAATAAGAAGCTTGTAATAACTCTAAGTAACCACTAGTCTCTAAATCAGGAGAAGTGTATCCCCTCCTTGTTAAATAAAGACAGGAGGTATAAGAAATCTACTTGTGTGAGTTTGGAAGACCTCTTGTCTTCAAAATCTCCATGCTTTAACACACCCAAAATTTTTTCTTTAAATTCTGAGAACTCGCCTCCTGCACCACCATTCTCCACTTCCATCTCGTCTTCATCCCTTTCATCTTCGATATCCATACTAACGTCCTCACCAGTGTCACCAAGAACAGATACATCCATCTCTGTATCTTCCGAATGCCCTCTTTGTAATTGTTGTAAAGCTTGCAAAGTTCTGTAATTTTTCTCCAGCAAAGAGAGAACAGTCTTCTGCCTAAAAATTGAACCTAGAGTTTTGTTCTTCCTATTGAAACAAATTCGGACTAACCCATCCCATTCCTTGAAATTCACAGGGGGAAGTGGCTTTCTTGGCTCAATTCGAACCACAGAGGAATCCACCTTGGGTGGAGGGCGGAAGTTGTTTTTTCCTACTTTGAGGAGATGGTTAACACGGGCCAGCAGCTGTGTGTTCACTGAAAGGCGGCAATAGAGGTTATCTCCAGGCTGAGCGACAAGCCTCATGGCAAATTCTCTCTGGAACATGATAACAGCACACCTAAAAGCTGGTCGATGCGACAACAACTTGAAGGTGAGAGGAGAAGAGATTTGATAAGGGATGTTTGCCACACAGATATCGAAATAGGGAAGATCACACTTGAGCACATCACCTTGGATGACCTGTTGAAAAACAAGCAAGTACATAGAATGGGAAAATTTGATCAATCTGAAGCTCGAAAAAAAAAAAACAGAAAGAATACCAGAATAAGGTTGATGACATTTACAAAAAGGTTCAATCACCATAAAATTGACACAAACATACACCCCTTACACAGGACCACAGTTCAAACTTAAAAGCAAATTTCTAATTAGTTCATTCCTTGAAGATAACAGTGTTGATTTTGTCATCAATACTATAATTACTTGGACAATTCAAGAAAGTAGATCTAAAGAAGAGAAAACACGGATTAAGTACTTCCTGATTTTAAAAAGTTTTTGCTTTGAGGTTTGCATGCCAGGGCATGTCCTTTTAGAAAGAGTAACCTCACTATATTTAAAGAACAAAAGAGTGAGTATGAGAGGATATACAAGCTACATGGTAGTAATTAGTAAATGAAGACACACAATCCAACTAAAAGAAAGTAAAATTTGGCATAATGTTGTCAGTTGCCACCATACAATGAGGACAACTTAATCCCGATTTAGTTAGTCCATCAGCGCATGATTTAGTTCCCTTGGGATCTGTCTAATTTGATGTTCAGCTGAGATAGGATTTCTTTAATTTCATTAAGAAAGTGTGACAATCTCCAAGGACCACTGATAATATTGCATTTCTCAAGTCTCCAATAGTTAACAATGTAATCTGGAGACACTTGACTGTTAGAAGACCAACAAGCAGAGCTCTAACTTCTGCTTCTGTTGAGTGACTTGAGTCAGCCTCTCCTATTGGCGCCCACTAAAAAAAACCATGTAGCACCAACAGCCTTGAGGAATATCCCAACTCCCAACAATATGTGCTGTACTTGGGGACCCCAGGTTCCCCATGGAACTTCCATCGAAGTGTAAAACTACAGTTTGAATTCAATGCAAGGAATGACAATAATATTGATCTTGTATGAGGGTCTAAAATGTTTAGATTGGAGGATCTCCAGAGATTTCTGGTAGGACCGTAGGAAATTCCTCTAAAAGTTTTACAGGCTAGCATCCATGATTTCAGAAAGGAAAGAACCCTCCCCTAAGGGCTTAAAAAGGTCTATCCTAGTTATCAAGTTCTCATCTCTCCTGCATAGATACCAGGTTGGTATTCTACATGATATGGGTCCTCTAAGCAAATAAAATATCATGAATGCTATAGAATTCTTTGTTAAGCTATATTTGGCTTAAACAAGAGCAAAATGACTAATTGAAGGTTGTGCCATAGACAACTGCATCACATCCGCAGCTGTATCAACTTGAAAGGCCAATCATCTTATCCACTCTGGAAAGAGTTAGTGATGGAGGAAGGGTTTGTGGATACAAGGTGATGGAGAAGTTTGACAATGGAGGCAAGACTTCTTGTTTGAGGAAATGAGGATCAAAGGGCTTCTAAATTTGTAGATTAGAGAAGTGAAGAGTGTTAGTGGAAGGCATAAAAGTGATGGACTGGTTGAGATCTTTTCTTTCAGTGGCAGCTTCCAAAGGTAAGCAGGTTTTTTGAAAGGAGAGGACTACAGACTCAGGGAGAAGATATGTGGTTGAGTGCAGAAGAAATACCAAAGGGAGCTTCATTGCTTTCAGAGTTTTCAAGGCACCAAGGCGAGGCTAGGCGACAGGGGGCCACCTTGTCACCTAGGTGATGGGATTTTTTAAGTAAAAATCACATATCCTAGGGTAGTTCCCGCTGAACCCCTATTTTTGTTATAGGAAAAGAAGAAAAGAAAAGGTGGAGGAAGGAGAAGAAGAAGAAGAAAAGGCAAAATTTTAAGTTCTTCCCTTACTTATTGGTTCAGATTTTGAAGTCATTGAGGGTTCAATACAGCAGTTAGCAATGTTTGTGTTGATTAAACCATAACAAATAAGAATAATAGAAAGAAATTAGTTTATAAACACAAAAAATGAATATTTTTCTTTAATAATGTCTATTTTATAATTATAATCTCAAAAAAGTAACAACATAAAATTATTTTATTACACAGTATGCAAAATTGCTTGGCGATTGGGTGAGGGGAGCCTCCAAGGGTGCCTTGTCGCCTAGACGTTGCCTTGACAACTATGATTGCTTTCTTGGTGTTCTTTGCTAGGGGAAACAGCTGGTTTGCTTCCCTGAAGGAAGGAAAGGTCAAGGTTGGCAACAGGTGACTGGAGTATTGGAGGATTTTTTGAAGCAACGAAAGACAGAAAAGGTGAAGTCTATAGAAGAAGAAAAGAAGAGTTTTCTGGAATCTGAAAACAGAACTGGGATTCCAGAATTAAACTTCTTGGTCTTGGCACCAAGCAAAGGTAAGTCCTCCTTGGCTGTTAACTTTGGAAGAGAACACTGGGCAAGTAAACTGGTGATTGAAGCCAAGAATCCTGTCACTGAATGGAGGAAGGTTGCTGATTTACTGATGCTAAAGCTGAATCTTCGAAGGACCAAGCAAAGCTCTACTAGACCCTCTTGAAAACTTGGTACAGATCGGAGCTATATGTTTTCAAGATGTATTGGGGACCTTCACAATATCAAAATGGTATTCCCTCTCAAAATGTCTACCGGACCCTGTGGCGTTAGGTGATGCACAAATAATATTACGTAAAACATAACCACAACCACAGCAGCTACACAGTGGGGGTGGGTATCCGACATCTCCTCGGTCCAAGAGTTATTATGGCTTTATAATACCTGTTGCACTTGAATACTCGCAAAGGAAGAATTTGAAGTCTATACATATGGAAGGAATACATATTGACTTTAGCTAAACGAGTAGTGCAAGCTGCGGTCCAAAATTAGAGCTTCAAAGGAGAATAAAGTAGCCGGTTATCCATTGAAGCTAGTTAACCAGACACAGAGAATCGAGTAAAGAAACCAACAAAAATTAAAGGGGAAGGAGATATGGAAAAAAACTGATGATAAATACACAAATCATACCGTCAAACGATTCGAGAAGGGTGTCCCTTGGAAGCGACGCTGCAATTCGAGAACCATGCGAGCATCCAATTCGATGGCAATTACTTTCTTCCCGACCTCGAGCAACTTTTTGGTGAGGTTTCCCGTACCTGGACCGATTTCGAGGATCACATCTGTGTTCTTAATTCCTGATTTCTGAACAATCGTGTCGACAATTAGAGGGTTCTTCAGTATGTGCTGTCCTTTTGACTTGTGGAAAGGAATCCCACCTTGTAAGTGGTTCGTTGTTGCGCGAGATGCTTTTTCCTTCTTGATCTTTCCTCCCGCCATTGCTGATTCAATGGATCACCACAACGCAGCTTCGTCACGGTGGGGAGGGAACACAGACACTCTGGAGACTATGGAGTATTCTTTGTGAGGGTAGCATGGTGACGACGCCGAAAGGTCCTTTGAATTCCATCGGTGCTTAGGTTTTAGGGTTTCAATTTCATACTAGGGTTGCTAGGCCAATTTCTACATATGGTCTAGCCTGGTTAAGCACTTAAGCCCAATGTTGGCCTGGCCTGATTAAACCTGGTTTTTATATGAGCATGTACACTTACACATTTTCACGTATTATATTTCAATATACTATGGATTTGAGAATTGGGTAAAATTTTTACGTCTTGACCAAGCCTGTTAAGCTCAGTGGTCTGATTAGGTTGTGCGGCTTGTGCCCATAAACTTAAAAAGCAGGCCGGTCTCGGCCGGGCAAATATATTTGCTATGCTTAACATGGCCCAGCCGGGCAAATATATTTGTCATCCTAGGGGTGTCAATTGGACCGGATTTGGTCCAATCCGATCCAGTCCAATGTGAGTCCATTATAAATAGACCAGGTCCAATCCAATTCAATGAATGCTTTGGAACTTGGACCAATTTGGATCAGTCCAATTCAATGTATGGATCATCCAATCTGTTCAAATTTATTTTGATTTAGATTAGTGTCAATCCAAACCCGGTTCTTATCTTATATCAATGGACCCAAATATTGGCTTAATCCAACCTAATCCAATATAAATTTGTTACGGACGGACCAAGTCCAATCCAATCTAATAAATATTTTGGACCAGACTGGTCCAATTCAATATGTCATGTTGGCCCGGGGTCCAATCCAAAACCGGTCCATTGACACCCTTAGTCATCCCTACCTCGGGTCATTGTAGCTTCATAGAATAATAAGTTTTAAGTCCAATTTCGTGTATTGTACGGGCCCCACTATTTTATATATATATCAATCACATCCTCACCCCACCCCAACCCCGATTATATATATTAAATATATGTGTATATAATATTATTTATGTTATTAATAATATTATTTATATTATATATATATATATATATATATATATATATCTCACTTATATTTAAAACATTATTTGCATTTTAATTTTTTCCTTTATTTTAAATAAATACCTTTCTAAAAATAAACTTTTAATTAAAAAATTCAAGGATTCAGGTCCTTGATGGGGAAGCCCTCTTTGTCGAGGACTGGGGATGCGGGCTAAAATTTTTTACATGGATTAATTTAAAACTCAAGGTTGGGATGGGGAGTATGATCCCCACCCTAAACTCGCCCATTGCCATTCCTACCCTGAGGGTCATCCCAAACCCCTAACACCCCCCAAACTCATAGATATAGTTCCATTAATTATGGTAATTATAAATGTAGTATCCAATACTTATGGAAATTATTAAAAAATTCACTAAATTAACAAAGTCACTAATTATTGCTCAAAAATTATAGTAAATATCAAAATTACTGAAAATATAAAACATAAACTTATATTTATTGAAATTAATTATCCACTAAAAAATATTGAAAATTTTTAATTATTATTCGATAATATCATTTAATATTAATAAATTGACCAAAATTACTGAATATGCCAATAACTACTTATTGCTAAAATTACTGATAAGTTTTAATTATTAAATTTGTATTTATTAATATTTTAATTAATTATTAATTTTTTACTAATTATTGATTTCAATAATTAATTCAAAACCTGAAATTAAATTACCAAAATTTTCATCAAGTAATTCTTAGTAATTAAAATTTTCAATTTACCAAAATTACGAAAATTGTAGTTTAGGTGTTGATATTTACTAAATAATATTCAATAATATCAGTAATTATTGAAAATATAAAAATATTTCACAATTTTAGTTTAACTACCCAAATTATTTTAATTAATTAATTTATCCATGTTTTTTGGTTTTTAGATGGTTTGTAATATAGATTAAGAGGTGTTTTAGGAGGAATTTTAGACGGGAAAGATTGTTTAGGAGAAATATTAGGAGGGGGTCGAGCGGATTAGTAACATGAGAGAGAGAGAGAGAGAGAGAGAAAGAGAGAGTTTGAGTGGAACTCTAGGTAAGAAGAGAGGGATGTCACGTGGCTAGGAATAGCAATGGGGTGGGGCGGGGACGGGGGAGCCTCTCCTCATCCCCATCCCCACGAAAATCCCCATCACCACTAACGGGGACAAGGTTATCCCCATCCCTGCAGGGATCCCCATTCCCTGTGATTTTTTATAATGTTAACCATTTTGTTTTTATTTTTTATTTTATTTAAAAAATAAAAATAAAATAATTAAAATTTACAATCCCATTAGAAATTATTCAACAATATTTTAAAAAATATTAATATATAGATGTATGTGTACACATATACATATATAACGTATGCATACATATATACATATATATTAGTGGGGATCCCATGGGGCAAGGGTCGGGGTCCCAGCAGGGTAGGGAGTGCCTCTCTCCATCCCCGCCCCATCCCTGCTAACGGGGATGAAAATTTCCCCATCCCTGTCCCCGTAGGGGGAAAATCATCCCCCATCCCCGCCCCATTCGGGGTGGATCCCCACGGGGATCAGGGAAATGGGGAAAATTGCCATCCTTACACGTGGCAATATAGATTAAGAGGTGTTTTAGGAAGAATTTTAGGTAGGAGAGATAGTTTAGGAGAAATTTTAGGAGGGGATTGGCTAAGTGATTGAGAACATGAGAGAGAGATTTGGAGTGGCACTCTAATGTAGAAGAGAGGGCTGCCACGTGGCTACATGGAAGGGCTAGAAAGGGGTAAGGGAGAAAGGAGAGAGGAGAGAAGGGGGAATTGGAGAAGGAGAGGGTTGCTGACATGGGACCTAATCACTTTAATATAGTATAGATATATAGGGTAAATTATAGATAGGTGCCTTGTACTTGGGGTTGTAACAGATAGGTAGTATGAACTTTCAATTGCAACACTTGAGTACCTGAACTTTCAAAAATATTCACTTGGGCCCATCCATTAGTATTCTGTCAGTTAAACATTACATAATGCCAAAACTACCCTTTCGTTAGTTAAACTTATACGGTATGATTAATGCCATTTAAGTTATTAAGTTAGTCAAGGGACCAGCCACTTCTCCCACGATAACATTGTCACATGGGCATCATTTAAAAGGAACTATGATAGCGTTTCAATACTATTTTTTTCGATGATGACATTATCTGGTGATGATTTTACTTTGTCGGTGATTTTCTATCCCCATTGGCAAAGCCAATTTCTCCCCATGATGGCGTTCTCACATGGACAACAAATAACATATTCAAATTTTCAACACCATTTAAAAGGGATTATGTTGGCATTTTAACTAGGAATGGCAATGGGGCGGGTTCGGGGTAGGGATTACATTCCCCATCCCCGACACTAACCCCCAAATTACCCCCCATCCCCATCCTCGATCCCTGGCGGGGAAAGGAATCCCCCTCCATCCCCGACCCTAACGGGGATGAATTCCCCGTCGGAGACCCGAATCCCCAACGGGCTGAGAGTGATTACCCAATTCCAGAGAGATTGAGAGAAAGACTGAGAGTGAGGTTGACGCAGAGAGAGAAAGAGAGATTGAGAGAAAGACTAAGAGTCTGATACAGAGAGATTGGGACTAACAGAGAAAAAGAGAGAGAGGACCATTGCGAGAGTTGAGGTTGGCGACGAGAGAGAGTCCGGCGGGCAATGGCAACGACGGTTGGTGACAATAGACGAAGGTTGAAAGAAGATTAAAGAACTAAAACTCTTCTTTGAGTATCTCTTCTTTGCCACTCGAGTATCTCTATCCTCTGTCCGATGTCCAATGAGCGAGTGGCAACAGCGACGGTGGTCAGCGAATCAACGACGAAGATGAAGGCACGAAGCTAGGGTTCAAAGACAGAGTTCTCTCTTCTCTCTGTCAAAGACACGAAGTCGAAGTGTTTTGTATTTTACTGTCGAGGGATTTAGTGTTTTCCTATTTTTTAAGTTTTAATCTTTTAAGAAAGTGAATAATAATTATTATAATTATATAATATTATATATATATATATATATATTAATCGGAGCTGGGTTGGGGTAGGGATTGCCCCACCCCCGACCCCGACCCCGCCAAAGTACCCCCCATACCCGACCTCCGTCGGGTCAGGGAGTCCGAGTACCCGTCGAGGACGGGGAAAATTGCCACCCCTAGTTTCAACACTATTTTTTCTAGTGATAACATTCTCTGTTGACAATTTTACTTTGCTAGCGATTTCCTACCCATACTGGCGAAGTACTTTTCTTTGAACTCTCTTCTACTTATTTGCAGGGATTAGAATGAGCAATCACATCCCATTCATCAATCATTTTAATCTCTGCAAATAAGTAGAAGAGAGTTCAAAGAAAAGAACTTTGCTAGTGAGGGTAGGAAATTGCCAATGCAGTAAAATCATCACCAGATAATTCCATTACTGGAAAAAATAGTGTTGAAACGCCAACAATAGTCCCTTTTAAATGTCTTTTGTGAGTTTCGGGAAGCTCATGGTCAGCTTAAAGAAATGGAGTCGCCATCCATTTTTTAGAGGAATGAGCCTTCATTTTTAGATTTGAAAAACTCGACTTAAGTCTTTGATAGTGACTCCGTCCTCCATGGAAAAGGAACATAACCGATAGATTTCGGGTTTCAATGATTGGGATAGGGAAGGTATTAGGCACCATCTCTCCAAGCTACTATAGCATCCCAATACAGGAGTTATTTAAGCTCAATTTCTTTCGGAGAAAAAATAAAATGATTGTAGGAATTTCTTAAATGTGGGGAACATGCTTTCAACTTCTCCTAAGACCGATTTTGAGGTGATGTTATCAGGTCTTAGGTATTGATTTCCCTAAGACCCTCGCATCTCTGCCTCTATTCTCAGTCAAGAAGAAATTGTAAATGATGGTTCTCCAATATTTTAGAACCTTAAACAACCTAGAAAAATTGAAAAAAAAACTTACTTTTGTATGTACCTTGTCAAAAGTTTTCCAATAGCTAGGATGAGATAGAATGAAGTTCAAATAGGTTCTTGAGCTAGGGAATGTTTCTGGTTGCAACAACTTTCACTTGAAAATGGAGGAGGCGAGTTTAGAACATGGGGTTTAGATTACCTCCGAATTTCGGTTGAATAGGAAGTAGTATATGGGCTGTGCGAAAGCTCTCTTCTCTCTTTCCTGCTCTCTCTAAGGGCCTCCCTTAGGCTATGTTTGGTTTGAAGGAAAAGGTAGGGAAAGGAAGGGAAAGGCAGAGAAACATATAAAAGGTTTGTAAAGGTTTCCTTACCTTTCCCTTCCTTTCCCTACCTTTTTCTTCAAACCAAACAAAGCCTTAAGTTTCCTCCTCTTTTTATTCTTGTTTCTTCTCTCTCCCGCCCCCCTTTTGAGATTGAATTAGATCAGTATTTATAGAGAAAGGAGGGGGGCAAGTCTGAATTCGTTCAACTACAGTGCTTGGGATTTAACATAGGTTTTTTACACAAATAGGCAAAGATTCTAAAAAGAAATAGATGCTCATTCAAGCCTTCTTATTTGGTGAAACATTTTCTTTAATTTGGGGGTGGTTTTCATAGGTTTTGTGCGTCCAATGGGAACTTGGGGCATGCCTGTCATGGCAATCTCGTATTTGGGACTGTTAGTGGCAGAAAATGTATATTTGATGAACTTTTAATTGTGGTTTTGTCTTTTCTTAGCTTTAAGTGGGGATATCTTGGGGTTTTGGGGTCTATTAGGCTCTAGTTCATTGGTCCAAGTGTTCTAATGGGTCAAGAATGGGTCTGACATCAGCCATTACCCTTTCAAGCCTTCAAGGCTTCAGGTTGGGATAGATGATGTGGCAATTTAATCCGATGCGTTGAAATAGTATCCTCCTAGTTTAATGGTCAAACAGATGAATCTGGTCATGAAGTTTGATGTGTTGGATTTTTTGGGTCTTTGAACACAGTGGTGATGTCTGATTGTTCAAATAGGCTCGGAATGATTGAGATCTATGGCTGATAAATTCATATCAATGAGATTTGCTAAAATAAAATCTTTGTTTGATAAAGGGTCAAACGGGGGGATTTCGGGATAAAATTTGGTGGGTTGGCACTTTTGAACATTCTGAATCTGATGGAAGTTATAGATCTTTGATCAGAGATCTAGATTACAGATTTAGTTCACATCATGGTCATAGCTAATGGTTTTACAATCAACGAGAGGGTTCAAAATGGAATCTTACTTTTTCAGCAGTCAAATAGAGGTGTTTAGTCATGAAATTTGATGTGCTGGGGTTTTTTGGGCCTTTGAACATGGTGGCAGGGTCTGATTGGTCAAATGAATTTGGGATGACGGATGGTAAGTTTTAATTAATGAGATTTGTTGAAATAAGATCTAGGCTTGGTGGGGGGTTAAACATGGGAATTTTGAACTACAATTTGGTAGGTAGGCATGGATTAGGGTGAGGAGTCAAGTGGATGGTTCTGATTTGAGAAAGATATGGTCGACCTTGGTAATCATTCAGGGCCATTAGAATGAGATCTTGATGTCTTTGTGGTTGGCTATCGTAGATTCATGTTAAGATTCGCTAGTTGATTATTTCCTAATGATCTTGAGGTGATGGATATGTTGGATTTGATTTTGAGGAGTTGGAGTTTAAATATTGCATAGATTAGGGCCATTAGAAAGGGAGTTGGCATGATGAACGGTGGATCTTTGGAGTTTAGTCATGAAAACTAATGTGTAACTAAGTTATCGTTTTCCAAGTCTAGGGATGATGTTTGATCAAACGTTGATTTTGATCTCAATGTTCTTATATGTCCTGTGGATTGTGTCAAAGGAGGGTACAAAGAGGTAAGGTAAAGGGACCGAGCAAAAATTGGGTGCTGACACCGTCCATGAGAGAATGCCATGGTGGGAGAAGTGGTTGGTCCCTTAACTAACTTAATAACTTATACGGTATTACTCAAATCATATAAATTTAATTGATGGAAGGGTAGTTTTGGCATTATATAATGTTTAATGATGAAATACTAACAAATGGATCCAAGTGTCTATTTTTGAGAGTTCAGGGTACTCAGGTGTTGCAATTGAAAGTTTAGGATATTTATCTATCACTACCCCCAAAGTACAAGGTATCTATTTGTAATTTACCCTAAGGGGGCGTTCTTTTTTTTTGGATTTTGAGAGGGGGGAAGTTGGTCAATGGGATTTTGGTTCCCATTGACCAAGAATCCCATGTTCTCTTTTTTAGATTTATGTGGGGACTAGGGAAAGTTTATTTTCCTAGGTATCACTTACCCTCCTAGGTGGGTAAATAACTTTCCCACTTGGGCAGAAGTTTCCAACAATGAATGGGACAAAAATGCCCCTTTTAATAATGAATTTTATGGTTAAAATGGTCATTTCTTTTTTTTTACTTGGGAAATAAAAGAACATGGGTAAATACACTTAACTGGGTAAGTGTTTCCCAGGAAAAACCTACCCACGTAATTGCATTTACCCGAGTAACTTACCGAAAAGTGAACAGCCTAAAATATATTAAATTAAAAAACCATATAGACTTTGCAAAAAGTTGACCCAACCTGACTCAAAAAACAAGGTTGAGGTCTCATATCTTGCTAGCTGATTGAGAATGACCCGGACCCAAAAAATTTGGGTT